GCGGGGCCTCGGAAGCGCTGTCGCGACCGGCATGCCATGGTGTTTTCCCGTTTCGGAAGCGGCTGCCGAAGCAGTCAGCCGCGCTCAGAAAGCGACGCTTCAAAAGCTAGTTTTCTAGCGGGCTCAGAAAGCGACGGCCGTCAGCTGCAGGCTCAAGGGCTAGTTTTCTAGCGGGCTCAGAAAGCGACGTTAAGCACTGACACCGGGGCCTCGGAAGCGCCGTTGGGACCGGCATGCGATGGTATTTTCCCGTTTCGGAAGCGGCCGCCAAAGCAGTCAGCTGCAGGCTCAGAAAGCGACGTTAGGCAGTGGCACCGGGGCCGTTGGGACCGGCATGCCATGGTGTTTACCCGTTTTTGGAAGCGGCTGCCAAAGCCATCAGCTGCAGGCTTCAAAAGCTAGTTTTTTAGCGGGCTCAGAAAGCGACGTTAGGCACTGGCACCGGGGCCTCGGAAGCGCCGTTGGGACCGGCATGCCATGGTGTTTTCCCGTTTCGGAAGCGGCCGCCAAAGCAGTCAGCTGCAGGCTCAGAAAGCGACGTTAGGCAGTGGCACCGGGGCTTCGGAATGCGCCGTTTGGGACCGGCATGCCATGGTGTTTTCCCGTTTCGGAAGCGGCCGCCAAAGCCGTCAGCTGCAGGCTCAGAAAGCGACGTTAGGCAGTGGCACCGGGGCTTCGGAAGCGCCGTTGGGACCGGCATGCCATGGTACGTGTTTACCCGTTTTGGAAGCGGCCGCCAAAGCCGTCAGCTGCAGGCTTCAAAAGCTAGTTTTCTAGCGGGCTCAGAAAGCGACGTTAGGCAGTGGCACCGGGGCCTCGGAAGCGCCGTGGGACCGGCATGCCATGGTGTTTTCCCGTTTCGGAAGCGGCCGCCAAAGCCGTCAGCTGCAGGCTTCAAAGGTTTCTAGCGGGCTCAGAAAGCGACGTTAGGCACTGGCACCGGGGCTTCGGAAGCTACTTTTCTTGAGGACCTGGTTCGTTTGGTGCGGCCACCAGCCACTCGGTGGTCTTGCATGTGCGACCGCGCGCATTCGTATGCTGTGCTCGGATGCGTCCGTGGGGTTGCTTGGATTCCACCTTGGTGTTGCACGTCGGACATGCGTGCGTATAGCGAGTGCAAACACGTCCTGCAGCCACGCGAAACTGACGGCCACAGTGCCCCCGTGTGTTGACCTTCCCTGTGAAGACGCTGCTTTGCACACATTGCTGGCACGAAGGACATGTGTACGTCAGACACGTGCGGCAGCTTGGCCGTCCTGGCTGGACTTGGCGCTGTTCCGTTCATCCTGTGCGCTTTGCATCGCTACTTCAAGTACCCCTGTCGAACTAGCGCTGCCTGTAGCCGTCGGCCACGCATGACTGGTTCGTTCGGCAGTTCTTTGTCGGATCTCTTTGCGGACTTCCTCCAATATGGCTTGGTGGCGTTGGCGCTGAACCCGTTGCCGCAGCGGTGTCAACCGTTGGTTCGCCCGACGGGCAATTTGACACACCAAGGCTAAGCTGATGCACGTGTTACAAAGTTGCGTGCCATTTTGACGGTAATCGCGGTTTTCTTTCCAAGCAGTTAAACTCTGCGTGGGGTTTTCGCTCTAAACAGTCGGCGCAAGACCAATACCCCCGCAGCTTCAGGACGCAGTCGCGGCAACAGCGTCGGTCAGCATGGCGAGCTTTCCAGGCGGCAGGGCCATAGTCTTTCTCTGGCTTGGGAACCCCACATTTGAAACATGGTTTCTTGACTTCGCATGTCAAACACACACGGAAAAAACTACATTGCCGTTGGCGATGCTTTTCTGGAAAATTGGCCTCGACATGCCACAGCTTGCACACGTTGCACTGCCACGGGGTTCCAGCATCTGCATAATGTTTTGTGCACTCGCGACACACCCGGTCCGTGTCGCTGCGCTTCCATTGGCCAGGTGTGAACGCTGTGCTTTGTTTTCGTTCTGCGCAAGTTGAACACACGCGTTCTTCGCAATATTTTGCGAGCAACGCCTGCCAGTTGATGGCGTCGCCGCGGAGGTGTCGCAGAAGAAGGTCCCGGCCCAAACCGATTCCCTTTTGGAATGGCGCGGCGTCGAAAGGGCGGAAGATCAGCAGCTTCCCACGGCCTTGGACACGGGTGATTGCAACGTAAACCGTGAATGGGTTGCCCATTGGGCCGATACAAAGATCGGTCATCACGCCTTCTTTGATGGTTTGCCCTTGCGCAACATGCGCTGTGATGGCAAATTGGGGCGCGAGTGGAAATTGCGTGCGCGACACACGGAGCTTGGGGCTCTTGCGTTGCCGGTCCAAGTACCACACGCGTCTGCAAGGTCCGACAGGGTATACGTTGCTATCTGGCATACCTGGTATCTGCCACGATGTCGCGGTTTCAAACTTCACATACACCACCGCCGGCAATGCGTTGCACACAACTCCTTCAGGTGCAGGCGTCTCATTGGCAATCTCGGACCAACCCACGACGAGGCCTTTTGTGCCCTTGAGAATGCCGCGCTTCCGGTCCAAGTGGTCTGTTGCACGGACAGGCATGCCGACGCACAACGGCAACACGCCGTATAGCCCACCGCACTCTTTGTCGTGTCGCTGCAACCATTGCAATTTCTCCGCTGTCAAATTCGGCTTCTCCTGCACGACCACGGACGATGCAACATCTTGCGCAACAAATAAATATGCTTGCTTTTGTCTGGCATTTGCCCACTGTATGGCGCGAAGCTTGTTGACATGATATTTGATGTCGTTGGTGCCGAAAATTGCAACTGCATCAGCAAATTCGTTCTGAAACCGGGTGTCCGCATCCCCTTGCGCCACAAGTATGCGAGAACGGCGATCAGCGGCGCAGTAGCTGCATTTGGCTTCTTGTATGGCTTCTGGACGTAAACCTAGTGTGGGCAATGCGGCGCAACCTGGTTGTTCGCACGTCGCATGCCCAGCAATCCAGCTGCCTGGCACCGTAGTTGGTTTCCCATGAAGAAACTTGTGGTTATCGTCTGATAGCTGCCCATGACGAAGTTCTCCTTGGAGCTCAGCCAGCTGCCCATGACGAAGTTCCTCTGATAGCTGCCATGGTTGTTGTTGTTGCTGTTGTTGTTCTTGTTCTTGTTCTTGTTCTTGCTCTTGTCGTTGTTGCTCCTCTTCTTTTTCTTGTTGCTGTTGTTTGTTGTTCTTGTTGTTGTTGTTGTTGTTGTTGTTGTTGATCTTTTTCTTCTTGTTGTAGTTTTGGATTTGGTTTTCGTTTTGGTTTATGGTTGTTGTTGTTGTTGTTGTTCTTCTTGTTGTTGCTGCTGCTGCTGCTGTTGTTCTCCTCCTCCCTTTCCAACCCTGCGACCTCCAAAGCTGATCTGCTGATCCCCCGGAACGCACCAGCGCCCAGGGTCTCCGTACCCCCGAAGGCCAAGGCCCCAGAAAGCACGTGCAGATCCGCTTCGGACATCGCTGGGTCAGAAGAGAAATACACACATACATTTCCAACACAAGAACAGGTCACCACTAAACCTTTCTTCTTACGTTCCAGGCCCCTAGACCAGGGGTCGGCGGCAGGGGGCGTAGCCCCTTTAATTCGGCTCCGCCGGCTCCACACGAGTACGCTGACAAATGCGTCACGAGCGTCCCAGAGCGACTA